CCTCTGTGACAGAATAATGAATTAATAGATATTTATATTTATACAAAAAATACATATGTGTTAGTTATTATAATGATTAATAATAATAATAATAATAATAATTTAAAGTTAATCGTTTAAAAGGATACTTCACTCGAAAAAAAATATTTTGAAAGTCATTCCAAATGTGACTTTCTGTTTTGTGACAGAATGATGAATTAATAGACATTTATATTATTACAAATATTTATTAATTATTATAATGTAAACAAACAAATAAACAGCTAAATAAATAAATAAACAAACAAACTATACATACTTCACCTGAATTTTTTTTTTTAAGTCGTTCTAACAACATTATGAAATAACACTTATATTTATTAAAAGGAACATATTTATTCGTTATTATAACTTTGATTAATTAACAGTTAACTAGTATTAATTAATTTAAAAAAGTGTTAAGGTGGTGAGTACTGGAGTAGCTGACTTGCTGAAAGGCTGGAAGAGGACATCGACGGAAGTTCCGGTAGGAAAGGTTGCTGATAACGCGGACGCGGTAATTGTATAAATTTTTATAATAGGAAACGCTAATAGGAAAATAAAATTTGACCATCAGATCAGATCTGTGCCTGTTGTGCAATCATGGACGAGGACTCTGATGAGTCAGTAATGAATGATAGTTTGGGATTTACGGAGGTTTTTTCCAAAAAGAAAAACACTAAACGCAAGAAAATTATGTCTAAAGATCAGGAAGACAGTGAAGATACGCTGATAAATACGCCAGATGGGAATAAAAAAAAGACTAAAACGTGTCAGAAAGATAACAGGAAAGACTTAATTCAAAATGAGATGACAGGATTTAAAGTAATGGTAACTTTTGAAAAAGGTGCAGGAAAACATCTACATCCAATGGGATTATCAAAGGCAATAGATAAATCGATTGGAACAGTTAGCTTGGCAAGATGTTTGGGACAAGGGAGAGTTTTAATTGTAGTCAAAGATATTGGGCAAAGAAATAAACTACTAGGGATTAAAGAGATGAATGGAGAAAAAGTTACTTCCAAAGAAATAGGAGTAGCTAAGAATGAGAAAGGGGTAATATCAGGAGTGCCGACCTATATTACTGCTGAAGAAATTCAGGAAAATATAAAAGGAGGCAAAATAACCAATGTGAGAAGACTGTTTAAAAATGCTAATGGGGATAAAACTAAGAAGAAGAAGAAGAAGAGTACTGGAGTAGATTTGGAGCTATCAGAGTACGTTATCAGAACACAGAAACGCTCGTGTGTCACGTGACGGCGACGTCAGTCGCGCTGCGTTACTGTGCGCCACTGATGCAGGGGGATCCATCATGGCGTCGATGCAGGTAAGATCACAGCTGACATCTAGCTCTGTTTAATCTATCAATCACTCCTTGATCAGGTGTCGAGTGGGTCGTCTCTGATAGTGTAAATGGTGTTTTTTTTGGATACGCCTAATTAAGGGATCGAACATTGCTGTGTTATTTCTGAAATCATAACTTGTCCTCCTCGCTGCACGTGAACTGTCAGGGTGAGAATTATCGGTGCTTTAAAAGCAACAGCTGGCGAGCAGGACTCACATAAACTACTGATTTACCGCAAACACAGGCAACGGAATGAGGAGAATTAACGTGTTATTACTAGAAGTATCACGAGTTTGCTATGTGAATAGCTTGAAATCATGATACCAGCATGTTTACTTATTTTTATCCAGCTTTGCAAGGTTATTTGTGACATAGTGATAGGAAATGTGAAGTTAATTGACTGAATATATAAGTCACTCTTTTGTGTTGAATAAGATTATTAGAAATGACAAAATATAGGCTATACTTGTTGCCACACAGCTCTTAGTAGTATAAATATTCAAATGAATAATAATCAGAGAATGTATATAGATTTAAATATGTAAGTAATAACAGTATTTTGAATACTGTACTGAATTTCAATTCTTGGATGTATCTCATATGACTTAAATTTGAAGTGATTTAAAAGTACTAATTCTGACTTAAAATCGTGCTATATTCTTTACATTAAGTGGTTTTCTATTTTTTTTTTAATGCCAAGTACCCCACATTAGTGCTGGGCGGTATGACCAAAAATTTATATCACGGTATTTTTCAAAATTATACCGGTTTCACGGTACATGACGGTATTTTTTTTTTCATGCATGACCGGATGTTAACCATATTTTCTACTGATTGAGAGAGGAAATACTGCAGTATATTGACTTAGAATGCCCTATTTTACTGTCATGATGAGTGAATATTGTCAAAAAATACCACACTAAATAGTGACTAAACACGACCCCTTTTAATACATGTTAACCAGGAGTCACTCTCATTTATAATCGCGGCATCATCTGATAAAATCAACATGCATCTACACTAAAGAGCGGCTATGCGGTTGTTTTAGCTATATTACTTTTTTGTCTCATGCAGCGCACAAATTAAAAAAATTTGCATGTGATATTAACAGACGAACTATGCTCATATTTATAATTCCAAACAATCAGTAAGCGACAGGTGCTAGGAAACGCTGTTTTGTACTCATTTATTGACAAGTTCTCTCACCACAGTGCAACAGTGAAAACGGACCCCTTTCAAACAGTGACGCATTCCGAACGATGTTTAAGCGACATACACCAGTATTGCGGTATTTTAAAAATTCATATCATAACTAAAATAAACACCGGTATTCGGTATGAACCGGTATACCGCCCAGCACTACCCCACATTCTCTTATCCTCTGAATATTACTTAAGTTATTAAGATGAGACTGTGTGTATGTGTGTGTGTGTGTGTGTGTGTGTATATATATATATAATATAATATATATGTCCAAAACTAAATGCTTACTTGGACGTTATTTATTATTTATATATTATTTAATTAGGTATTGTTTATTTATTATTATTGGAAAAATTATAATTTATTTGTGCATCTTTTTTTCTTCCTTCATCTATCTATCTGTGTGTGTACACACACACACACACACACACACTAAATATAAAATCTTACACAATCTTTTCTTTTCTTTGTTTAATACTTTGTCTGTTTCTCAACAGAAAAGGTTACAGAAGGAACTGCTAGCCTTGCAGAATGATCCACCTCCTGGAATGACCCTAAATGAGAAGAGCGTACAGAACACCATCACACAGTAAGACCGTCATTTCCCGACTCTTCGTTTAATCTTATACCCGTGTGTGTGATCACGGTGTACTTATTAACAGGCTAGCTTTCTCAGGCCATCCTGTATCAGGGACTGTCACAGGGGAAACATTTTAAAGCACACTGACTCATTGTTTTTTTTAACTTATTATTACGTGTTATTCATTGTTGTCATGTTAAACCTGGAAAACTCTCGCCCATTGTGGGCGTTGTTTTTAAAAAATTTTTTTTTTAAATGTTATCAATTTGAAAACTTTTCCCATTTGGTGTCATTTGTAAGGCTGCTCTGCCCGATGTATAGAATGTCTGCTCAGACTAATCAAAAATTAAAGTTGTCAGCTCGAGAGGGTAGTATTTCCGTAACAAACCTGGCTGACCTCTTTTTGGCCCATGCATGTGTTTGTATCCATTTCTGGAAATATCTAGCAGTTTTTTATGGGAAAAAGCTGTCACAAGGCAAAAAAGTTCCATCACATTGCTCCACAAAAGGATTGCCTAACTGAATCTGTGTATAACCAATCTTGTGCTCAGTGGTGTGTGGAGTTACGTCAGAAATTGGAAAAGAGCTGTCTTTACACATGTTTATGTCTTTCTGTGTAGAAGTAATGAAAATAAATGATTGATATATTTACTCGGTTTCAGAGAGCTAAACTTTGACAGCCAAGGGTTATAAAAATAACATTTATTTTATGTAACTCTGGTTGGTATTGTGGGAACACCATGTAACTTAGTTTACTATTTATATTCAGGAGCAGCTTTGTAGCCTTGTCTTGATACATATTTTGTCAAAGAAATGTCAGATATGTGTTACCAGTTTAGCAGCTTGCCAGACGTGTTTGTCCGGAACTAATTGGTCTTTGTGTTCGTTGTAGTACAAGTTTTTTGAAGGAGGTTTTTGAAGGAGATTAGTCAGATATGTTAGATAGGAGGGCAGTGGTTTAGGTTTAACCTAAATATGAATTATTACTCTAGACTTTCTCTTAGTATCTCCACTCACGTTAAGTAATATACTACAGGTCATAAGTTTGGAATAATTAATATTTTTGTGTTTTTTTTCTTATGTTCACAATAGATGCTTTTTATTTATTTATGTATTAAATTATTTTTTTAATTAAAGATACAATAAAACTGTAATATTGTGAAATAATATTTCAGTTTAAAAGAACTGTTTTCTATTTTAATATATTAAAATTTATTTTAATTTATTCTCGTCTTGACAAAGCTGAATTTTCAGCAGCCATTACTCCAAGCTTCAGTGTCACTGAAATCATTCTAATATGCTGTTTGGGTGGAAATCATGATACATTTTTTTTTCTTTGCCAAATAGAACATTTAAAACAGGATTTATTTGAAATTCTATCGAAAAGTAAAAATAAATAAAAATGATTAGTTTTTTCAAAACTAACTTACCCCAAATTTTTGAATGGTAGTGTATCACTATAGTAGTTTCCATATTTTTTTATTCATCAAACAATCCTGAAAAATAAAATTAATCACAGTTTCCTGTCACGGGGTGCTACTGTGAGGAGCACGGAACGAGGAAACCAGGAGACCAGGAGTACAAACCAATGAGTTTATTTCAATCGCGGGGAATCACACGTAGCACAAGTGAGTTGACATAAACAATACCGGACAACACTAACTGAAAGGACTCAGACTTTTAAACACAGGATGACGAGGGACTAAGGAGACACACCTGGAATCATAGGAAATTAAACATGGGAAACACCTGGGATGAATTAACAGGATACGCGGGAGACAGAAACTGGGTCACCGAAAAACACACACAAAACACGGGACAGAGTCTGACATTTCCACAAAAAAAAAAAAAAAGCAGCACAACTGTTTTTAACATTGGTAATAATAATGAATGTTTCTTGAGCATCAAATCATCATATTAGAAGGATTTCTGAAGGATCATGTGACACTGAAGACTGGAGTAATGCCTGCTGAAAATTCACTTTTGTAAAAACAGGAATAAATTACATTAAAATAGAAATGTAAATAGTTCTTTTACATTTTAATAATATTTAACAATACAATATTTGATTTTATATATATATACGTACTTATAACACTATTAAAAATCATGACCGGTAGTGTAATACAAACTAAAAGGCAGAAATGTGAGCTCCTTTGACGACGCAGCAATATTTCCGCTCCATCTCTGGAATGTTCTCTCTCTTCTGAGAACAAATGGCTGCTGGAGATATGATAATACTGTGGCAGGAAAATCACATTGTTGATAGCACTTTATCTGACTCTGGTATATTGCAAGAATTTTCTGTTAGCAGATGGTCTGACAGTATTGATATTCCAAATGAAAATGTGTTTGTACTAGAGATGCCAAAATTAACACATTAACGTGATGAATGAATTAAATATGGTTACAGCTGTTAATATTTTTGATTCATTTATCTGATTTGACATTATGTTTTGAATGTTGATATCATTTAAAATTATTGTCAGACATTATGTATAGTAATAACTTTAGAGATGGGGAATTAAAGATGTAAAGCATTTTAAATTGTTTAGCTATATAAGCAAATTCAGTTTTATTTTAGGCTACATTGTCGACATGAGAAATGACCTTTTTATATAAAAGAGTGCATTTCTGTTCCCAAAAATTGAAGTTCATTAATCGAACTGAATTTATGTTGCCCTCTATGCCAGATGTTTCATCTCCATGTTGTCATCTGTTTGACCCCTGACATAGTGCCGCTTTCTTTACTGTTTAGTTCTGGATACTTAATGGCTATCGTCTTGTCTTTTATTGCTCACAATCTTGCTGCTTTCTGTCTCTCTCCTCACGTTTAATTCTTCTCCAGGCCTTTAATGGCTGAAGTGAAACACTCTGCTGGCTGGCAGTAGAGTAGTTCTATTTTTTTTCTCAGTGGTTTATGCTGTTGCTAATATGTATGCAACATTTGCATAGTTTAAGAGACCGTTTACCCAACCAAAATGCTTCATTATTGATGTCTTTGTTTCTTTTTACAGATGGATTGTGGATATGGAAGGAGCCTCTGGTACTCTTTATGAGGGGGAGAAATTTCAGCTTCTTTTTAAATTTAGTAGTCGTTATCCCTTTGACTCACCTCAGGTAAGTCTAAATATTACATATTAACTCTAGATTTCGTAATAAAAATTTAATTTCTTTATTTTATATTGTTTTTAGAATATATATTTATTGGCAATATTAATAAGAATGAGTGATTTTTTTTTTTTTTTTACTTGCTCAGAATGCCAAATTTCTGCCCAGTGTTATTTGAGTATTATTTATTAACTATTATAGTTTTTTATTAATTAGGGCCCAAGCCAGAAAGGCGCAGGGCCCTATTGATCCCCTAAGGATTATTATTATTTTTTTTCATTTTTTTTTTTCAACCTTCCGGGGCTTTTTGGGGGCCTTAACATATTCAAAAACTCTTGTATTTTATTTTTATATTTTCAGTTTTCATTTTAATTTGTTTAATGTTTTGTCATTTTATTATGTTCTTTTGTCATTTGTATTAGTTTTTAAAATATTTCTGCCCAGTCTTATTTTAGTATTATCTATACACTATTATAGCTTTTATTAATACTTATTAATTTTTTATTAACCTTTTTGCTTTGATTTGTATATTTTTCAGTTTTCATTTTAATTTCTTAATTTTTTTTGTAATTTTATTATGTGCTTTTGTCACTTGTATTAGTTTTTTGTTGTTAAAATATTTCTAAATAGTTTATTTCTTTTAATTTTAGTTTTTGTTTAATTTCTGATAGTATTTTAATAATAATACTAATAATAATAAAATAATATTTTAACTTCAACTTTCAAACTTCAAACATTTTTGTTTGGTTTGTTTTTCATTTAATATTTATATTTTATTGTATTGCTGATTTATTTCAATTAACATTTTTTCTGACATGGTTTTGACATGGTTTTCCATGTATCATTTTATTATATCTCTGTACGTAGGCAGAGACAAATCATATAAACAAGTGTGATTGTTCACGATAACATTAACTTCTCCATCTTACTTGAACTCAACTACAGTATCTCACATGTGGCAGATCACGTTCGCAGCGGTCGGTGCTGCTCTCGGTAGTCGCCACATCGCATTGCTGCCCATTTGCATAAAATGAAACTGTGAATTGCTGGACACCCTTTATTGTACATTTGTAGCAGCCAGATGAACATTTAAGGCTCAACTAAAATCTGTTTTGCACCTAAACAGTAAAATAATAGGATCGATCCGCACAAGGGCATTTTGAGCTTGTAGACTGCAGATTTAATGGCCACATATGAGGGGATTAACTCTGATCTTATTTTACATATCAGTCCCACTATAAATAGCAGAGCGGTATAGACCAAATTAGATAAACAAGCTCACACACCACTAAGGCTTTTAGGAATAAGAACAGCATGAGTATATGTATACTGTTATAGTTGAAAACCATGTCACAGCAAGTGACAGAAATACTGTTGATGGTTTAGAGCTGATACAAAGTGTAAATGGAGCAAAAGTAAGTCTTAGTCAAAGGAGCTTTAAATGCGAGGGGCAGCACTTGAGATTAAAGGTGACTGATAAATAACCTTTTTTGTTGCTGAAGTGGCCCTAGCAGTGTTTGTGCACATTAAGTGCACTTAATCGGGAGTGAAGCACTGGCTATTTTTATCTGTCTGACCGTGAGCGCTCTATGCTTTTTCTTATGTAAGTCCGGATCTGGCGCTGGCTTCTCATTCAGCCGGCTGTCTCTGTCTCTACCTCCTAATCTAGCGGCCTCATGCCAATTGTGAGGAATAAGCACCGACTTATGATTTAAAGGGATAGTTCACCCCAAAATTAAAGTTCTGTCATCATTTACTCACCCTCATGTTGTTCCAAATCCATGTGACTTTCTTTGTTCTGTGGAACACAAAAGAAGATGTTTTGAAGAATGTCAATGTTGCTCTTTTCCATACAATTAAAGTGGGTGGGGACTGGAGATGTCAAGCTCTAAAAAGGTCAAAGAGCATTATAAAAGATCATTAAAATAAGTCCATAAAACCAAAGACTATAGAATACCGAAGACGTGTCACTCGTATAGTTTTGAATGGGGAAAAATGCAACGCTCAATATGGTCGCTCAATCGCAGGAAGCCCCGCCTTCTGAATGAAGGAGCCAATCGCTAATCTGTAAAGTCAGCGCGTCACTGCAGTTGCCGTTAGAAGTCCCGGTTGCTATAGAAACAGTCAGCATTTTGAGACATGCGCTCAGGACTGCACATGTGCACTGGCTGATCTAGCCTGAATAATAAGCTTTTATAACGCTATTTGAGCAAAATAAACAACATTTATGACACAGTTGATATCAGATTTCTTTGGTGACTTTGATACAACTCATGGAATATATTTCAAGTCCTTTGAATTTTATGATAGTTTTGTTTAGAACAGGCCAAAAATTTAGTTGTTTTTCATGGAAAATTGAGCTTGACCACATTTCCACCATGAAATGGAAAACTTTTATAACACAATTCCTTACTTTTTCTCAGAATTGTGAAAAATGTAGAACAATTGCACAGAATTGAGAAAAAAATTAACTTGCAATTCAGAGAAACTTTGAATTGTGAGAAAAATTTTGAATTTTCCTTTGTCTCAATTCTCATAATTTTGTCTAAATTCTCATTAGGGATGTAACGATGAACCGCGAGCCGGTTGAAAATTGATTCAAATATGTGACGATTCAAATCGGTTGAGATGCTAAACAAAT